TACACACCATTCAAACATAACATTATGACTACAGTCTTATCATGCTACCAGTAAAGAACAGTGTAATGTATGACAAATTAAAAAGCAGTGTTATTTGATATGTTCTAATTAAGCTAGATTGGATCAGTTTTGAGAAATATTGCCCATAAGAGCTGCAGTTTTGAAGATACTAGGACCAATTTGTCTAGTCTTCCAAATGTATGCCTTGACATTTCCCCATTTTTACAGATGCAGATTTTTCTTACTTGTAGAAACTAGGGCTGTGCAATTAATCAAATTTTAATTGAGATCAAGATTCTGTCATTTCTAATCTAATTATCAGCTTTGGTCTTTTTAATTGAGGGGTTCGGCAGCAAAAGCGTGTGGTTTGTGTTGTCATTCGGGAAATTGATATTGAATGAAATTTTCGTTTGTTCTGAATATAATTTTAAAAAGTTTGAACATTGACATTGATTGAAACTGAACAATTGAAGAGAAAAAAAGTGCACCCAGCCCTATTTGTAAGACTATTTTTTTTCTTTTCTAATACTGGATCTACTTCTCACAGTCATACTCAAGAGAAAATGTGTTCTGCTACTTTTGCACTCATCTGTGGTCATAATGTTTTGCCTGATTGAAGTACAAAGAATATAACAATGAGGCACCTTGAAATGCACAAAATACTGAGCCCATCAATCATGCACTGTTACATCATTATTATCATCATTCAAAGTCACATATATATAAAATAGTTACATTAGGATCTCATTTCAGTATAATTTCACATATCATTACTTTTCATTGTCCATTGCCGTTACAATCTCAGTCTTAAATTCCTGAGCATTTTGGTTATATTTCTCTATACAAAAAATACATTTATTTTTTCTCTCTGCACTATTATTACTGTAGTCAGGTCTTATAATATTCATACTTGACCATATTTGTTTTACAAAGATACTCCAGAATAGCTTCATAGAGTAGCATTTAGGCAACATATTTACATTTTAGCTACATATACAACACTGTGCTAATAACATAGATTTGTTATTTTTGATTGAATGCATTAGTACAGTATGTTACATCAGTCTATTGTTGTGCAAACATTATTTCACAGCATAATTTTCCCTTTTTGTTTTAGATAAGGAGTTCCATAAATAGTTTATATTTGTTTGATAACAGTATTATTCACACAAGTAATAAAAGAATTCCATCATTATTGTGAGATTATCCAGGGTTACATAGTGAGTCACAGTGCCACTTTAGGGATTACCACCGCTTAAAAACAAATTGTCCATAATTTAAATCCAATATAATTTAATTTAAGCGTTCTTTGAAACAGTACATTTGGAAGATCTATGCCACAAGTGGTGGTAGAGTAGTCTAAGGGTCAAAGGGTAAACCAACTGTTTGTTTAATTCCACCAACCTCCATTTCAGTGTTCTTCATTTTTCTAGAGTACTGTGGGAAAGTTAAGAATCCACATTTCAATGCCCCAAAGTTCACTGGAGTGGCTGTAAGGGTCTTGACAGCAACTAATGACTTGATGCTACATGTTGCCTGCATTTTATGAGGTATTGTTTACAAAGTAAGAGATACATATGTTATTTCTGCGCTGTTATAGTCGTATCTCCCACTCCAGAGCTCAACACTAGCGCTCCTGCGAACTGGCTCATCTCTATTGGTTCTTCTATGGCATCGATACCAAAGAAATGTCTCTTCAACTGACCTCTCGGGGTTACTGGCTGTCTCCCCAGCAACGCTCCCGCTCTCTTGGGATATGGACAAACTTTCCTGTGATCTTGCTAACATTTCGTCAGATTCTGCGACCAAGTCTGGTGAGGATGGAGGGTCTGGTGTTCCAAAATCCACAGATGAATCTGGAGAAACTGAGCTAGGAGGAGATATAGTGACAGTGACTAGCGGCAGTGGCACTTGGAAATTTTGAGGCATGTCATCCAAGTTGTATTCCATGCTTGGATCCAGGTATGGCAGTTCAGATTGCGGGCACAGTGTGTCAGGTTCCACGGAGGGCAGGGGTGAGGTTGGATCAGATTGATAAAATGGTGGATCCTCACTATTGGATAAGGAGTCACTAAGGTCAAGTGGTTCGGGTTCAGGATCCATAAAAACTGAGTCAAGATCATCCTGGTCAAGTGATGTTAGCATGACCAAGTCAAAATGCACAAGATCAGACTGGTAGATTGGGGTTGTCGTAAGTGGTTCAGGAAGTGGAGGCCATTCAGAATCTTTGGGGTCTTCTTCAGAAGTCGGTTGAGGTGAAGATGAGCGAGAAGTTGGTTCCGATGTTGGTGGAGAAGAAATGATCACCTCAGGAATGTTTGCAATAGACGATGGTCCTGGATTGCTTTCAGTTGGACTTTCTGGAGGCTCTGGGTCGAAATGCTCCGATACTACGATAGATGGACATGTGATAAAGATACCATCTTTAGCTTCAGTAACAGTCACTTCAGGGGTCCCAGGGTAAGGTGGAGGAGGTGAGTCACATGTTTCCGGCTCAGGCTCCTGGTCTATGGGACTTTGATCTGCACTTGGAGGTTGTGTTGTCACAGTAGCAGGGTCCGTTGGGTCCACGGTCAGAGGATCAATGGATTCCGAGTCAGATGTGACCTCGTTATCGTCTGGCGGTGACACAGTTACCATTGGAACTGGGTATGGGAGAAGCACGATTGTTTCCTTGCTTTCGTCTGATGCTGTGTCATCAGAGAGGTCAATTTTTGGAGAAGTCTCTGTCTCCTCACTTTCCGGTTTATCAGTGACAGATTCTGAAGAAGTGACACTGGAGGATTGTACTGTACTTTGAGTTATGGACTCATGGACAGCCCTCCTCTCAGGTGACTTAACCACTTCCTCATCAGGTAGCTTTGTAACAGGCTCCGCTCTAGCTTTGGCAGGTTTGATCGTCATTTCTACTTTCTTTGGTTTGAATGTTCGGACAGTGCTTGGAAGTATGGGGTCGAGTGGGATGGCACTTTCCACAAACATTGACTGTGGGCTTGCAAGGATACTGGGGTCCATAGAGAGCTGTTTGGGTAAACCTTTGCGCCCTGATTTCTTTTCCTCTTTTTCATCAGGACAGTTGACCGCAGCATCAGCAGTGCTCTGTCGAACAAGGACCTTACTCCGAGCCTGGGTGCCCACTGACACCTTAGATACTTGTGGTTTCTTTTCCCTAGCCCCCAAAGTGGCCCGATCTATTTCAGATGGTCGTGGTTTTTCAGTTGAAGACTCCATGCCAGTTGATGTCCCTGTTGCTGCAGCAGTTCCGAAACCTTGTCCCCCAACCACCCCCCCGCCCAAACTTGGCCCCACTCCGACAGTCATGTGAGCAGCCTGAGGAGACCATGTGTTGTAGTGCTGGGTGAAGGTGTTGAAGTTGCTGTTAAAAGCTCGCAGTTCTTTACACAGGTCCCTTCGGAGCTCGGCTAGCTCTCGTCTCATCGCAGAGACCTCTTCCTTCCACTGCATACTGATGGCAGCGGCCAGGGTGGCAGATTCCTTGATACTGGCCTGGATGGCTTTAGGCGAGCGTTCTGGGGCGCTGGACCTGGGTGACCTGAAGAGGCTGGGAGACACAGGAGGTCCCGAGACAGGTTTGGCTGTGGCTCCCATGGTTTCTGGTGTGTAAACTCGTGCTGGGATGTCTCTCCTGATGGGACAGCCTAAATCGTCATGAGCCAAAGGAGCAGTGTCTAGTAACTTCTCCTGAACACTGGGCCGCTCGGGTAAACATGACTCTTCCTGCATATAATTTCTGTCTGTAAGACAAATGTAAATATGCAGTTGTAATATGGCCACAGGTGTGAGCAGCTGGAGATTATGTGCTTTTTATTGCCACTAAAAACTAACATCAAGTCATGCACTGAATGTTATGAGTCAAAATAAGGCATTAGTGGGATTCTCACACAATATTCATATTTCATGACGACTGGTCACACATTTCCATGACAGATATCAGGGATTATGTTTAATATTAGACTTTACTTTTTACAAGCAAAACAATGAGAAATATTTCTCATTTTGACTCATTTCTTAATTGTTTACACTGCCTTCTCGATCTTAGATTGCAGCATGCAATGTTAAATTTCTTCAATGCACAAAGCTGATCTACTGACTACAAATAAAATAGACATTTTTAACAGATGTAAATGAACACTTCTTGCATGCTCCTTATGTTTGGAGATTTGTGCAATGAAAAGAAACAAAAGGTAAGCAACTCTTCCAAAACTTTTCCACCAATCAGGAAGTATAGTATGAACCCTATTGAAAATGTGAGGTCCAGTTTGACCAAGTCATTCCAAGCTGCAAATTGTGACAAACCTTATGAAAAGTTTTGCAACTTAAAATACTGAGAAAGCAGTGTAAGCAATCTTTAGGCATAAAGAAATCATCAAAGCACATCACCAGATGGCCACACCTCTGGCTTTGAATACTGACTGTCCACAGCAGGATTCTAAGGTCTCATGTTTATCTTTGGGAGGAGGAGAGAGGCTCTTCATCTTCTTTTGCCCGTTCTTCTTCACTTCTTCACATATTGATAAAATGATTACCATTCAAACTAGAACCACAGATGTTCACAGTTGTTACATCATTCTGTATGTAGCACATTTGTAGAACCTTGTGACAAATTTGTGGTAAAGCAACAGTGTCTTATCCCCGTCTCTCCATGTTGCACATGAAAAGGAAAATGTGTGATGTGTAGCCAGGTTTTGTCCCAATACAATTCCATGTGTGGTTTTCAATAGGGTTCATAGCTTTACTCTCTGATGCATCCAATGAGCAGATGAAGCACTGTATTGCAAATACAGTTGATGGACTGGCTCACAAGTTGCAGCTACAGAAACCAAACATCCATAAAAGCAATGGCAACATATACCAATATACATGCAACAAAATGAAGCAATCAGTTATATCTAATGTAAGGGTTAATAAATACGACAACATTCAGCTCGTCACAACCAGGATTTTAGTACTGCCTTCTACAGCTATTGATGAGCGCTTACCTGTGGTGGACCTGATGGTGGAGGTGACAGTGGAGGTTATGGGAGGGATGCAGTCGTCATCCTGGGAGTAGCCGGCCTGGATGGCCCTCAGGTAGCTGTGGCTGCGCGTTCGGAAGCAGCCCGGCAGGTCCAGAGCCTCCATGGCCTGGGATTCCACTTCACTAAACACTGACTCGCAAACTGATTCGAACTGTCCGTTAATCTCAGTCTCACTCACCTGGGACACACACGTATTTATTTATTTAGATAAGTGTCAGAGATTTGTTCAAGAGACTTGCCTCAGAAAATGAAGTAGACTCTAAATGTTTTACTCCGAGCTGAACAGATATCATCATGCGCTGTTTACTTTGGGATTTAGCAGTTTAGCTTTAGTTGAGCTTTTAAGACTCTCAACAAATCAATGTGCCTCAGTTTAAGGAGATAAGGTGCTTGGATCTTGTCGCTGTATTTGTTGAGATAAAAAGACAATTAATTTGTATAATTTGTGTAATTAAATGCCCCCAGTTCTAATATTTCTGGAATAAATCCATCAATATAAAAACATTATGAGAAGCAGGAAAGAAACCCAACCAAGAGGGCAAATACAGACAAACACAGAAAGCTATTACTGACACTTAAAAAAAGATGGCCAAATCTTTTTAAACTATTTTTAATATACTATTGAGTATATACTATTTTATGCAATTTAAGATGCAACTATACATACATCTAACTATACACCAAAGTTTGGATACATTTAGTGAAGAGTCTTACCTGACTAACTTGGCTGACACAGCTGGCCTGGCTGAGTGTGCTCACTGCTCGCATGTAGCTCTGGTTCCTGGAGCGAAACTTGGGAGAGTTGTAATTGGTAGAAGGGTCCAGGCCGATGCTCGGATGCATGTCTCTGGTTTGCAAGTGGTAGTTCTGACTGAACAGACAGAAATAAAAGGAACAAACATGAGTGCGAGTGCAGAGACAGAAATTGCCTTCCATTTAACACAATTAGAGAATTATAAACATGGTTTACCAAGTGGCTACAGGTGTTGCCTGATGACAGAAACTGTGAGAGCTAACTTAAGAGGGAAGTGATTACGGCAGCTCTTCTCCCAGGTGGAAACCTTTTCTCTTACTTTGAGCTGAGCTTTGTGGATGGTGGAAACATCCACTCAGTGTGAGTATTAAAGGAAATGCAAATCAAAAGGCAGAAAAGAGAGCCCACTTCTGACCAAGAGCTCGATCAATTACATGTGCAACCCAAGCACAACAAAAGGGTTTGGAAGAATAAAAGCCAGGAATGAAACAAGCATTATGAGTGCTTGTGAAAAAGACGGCCAAAACATGACATTACTGAAACATGTGAATGAAACACAACTCCAAGTATATGTCTGATGTCAAAACATGTAGTGTAGAATTAGACAATAGAAAGGCAACAGAAAATATACTTTAATTCCCATAGATGATGACATTTTGAAACAACAATACTGTAGAGCGATCAGTCAGAGAGCATGATTATTCTGTTCAACTATGGTTTATGCGGTGGCAACCTTGATAAGTGCACATTGCCCCAGGTGACCTCTCATTGACTGGCCCTGAGTGTTTAGGCCCCTCTGTGAGGGGTCTAAATTGAGTATGTCAGCGGGGCAGTGGGCCAGCTGGCTCCTGCATCCAGCCACTGCAACACACCGACACAACACAACATAACTGAGCCTGTATTCACCTTAAGTCTGCAGCAAAATTGGTGATGTAGTTACGCATGTCACTGTTGATTTTATCCAGGCGGTAAGAGCTGTGGGTAGAGAAGAGAACACAGTTACTGGGTCCCATAAGAGGGAGTTGGATGATGTGATACCAGTGAGTGCACTAGCAACTGCACTGAATGTTTGCTTGGATTTCGCACCAAAATGCTGCAAACATTAGGGTGATAGGAATGGCCTAAGAGGATGGGTAAAGTGAGTATATGTTGTATTTGGTGGACACAACAGTTTTCCATAGCAATGTCCTTGAATGAAATGTGTACACACACGGACAGCATAATAATGGAGTTTAATGGGAGCTGTCACACACACGCACTGTTCACCTCCATCACCATCACACATAAATATAGTGAGACAAAGCATTAGGGACAAAAAGCTGCATCCATCAAACTGTTATTTTTCATCAATACAATCTTTCCCAGTGTGGTTAATTGAATTTGGTTAACGGCGCCGAATGAGGATTTCACTAAATGGCTAACATCCATCTCTGGGCATTTCAGCTTGGCCAGCCTTTCAAAAGTCCCCCCTTTTCCTCTCTGTCCGAAACGGTGCCTGACTATTATCACAATGTGAATCTGGAAAGACTTTTGTTAAATATGTCAGCCCCTTTAGCAAATTACACTTGACAACATTTCCACACAATGCCACGGACCAAAGATAATACATTTCTTTCAAAAAATGAAAACATCTTTGAGAGATGTTTGGGTAGTTGATTTGAGAGGTTGAATAAAGTCAGTGTTGTTATTACTGTGGTCAGCTAATAACACTTTTCTATGTATTAATTTAATGTTTGATATTTATTATTGAACCAAGCGTAAAAAAAATCAAAGCAGTTAGCAGCTATTTAGAGCATGAAGCATTTGACTTATGGTCCGATCCATAGTTTGCTAGAAGTGCTTTGATTTTTCTAAACCAAATACTACCCTTGAAAATTTGTCCACAGAGGAATGATGAGAAGATCCAAGTCTGATCTTAGTCTGTTGACTCAGCTGCACTTAAAGTCTATAAGATAACTTACTATGCATTGCACATCCCTCTTCACTTAATCAGTGGATTAGAGTTGCCTTGACCTTGGATTCGAAAACCTCTGCTTAAACACCAGGAAACAGCTAAAAGAATATGACCATTACACCTGCTCATAATAATTGTCCTTATGTCCAATATGCAATCTAAAATCTACTTCTGTATTTCTTTATTTACAAAATTACAACTAACACAAATGGCTAACACAACCACTTGTACTTGTAGCAATAATGTTATGCAGGATTTGTTCCAACTGAAGCATATCTGCACAGTCTATAATCAATCCATGGGAATTTTGCATTGACCTTGAGATCTGATGAGCCATTGTTTAGTTTTAGTTTATGGTTTACATTAACAGGGACCATATGCAAACCCATTCATCTCGTAAAAGAAGAGATGCTTTACACAAGATTCAGATAAAGCTACTTTCCATCTGGGCAGGTTAATTGTTAATTTGTGATGTTCTTTGGGCGGGAAAATGGACTAGAATGTTAGCCCCACAATTTACCCCAACTGCCGATGTTAAAACTGAACAAACTACAGCTGAAGTAAATATAAATGAGCCAAAAAGGATGGAATAGTGCGACCAAAGTCTTTCATAGTTAGGTTGGAGGTTAACCATTTCTCTGTGTCGGCCTAAGTGGCAATCAGGGATCCAGTCATTATGCTAATGGCTAACTGTGGGATTGGCTGCATGTCATTCAGCTTCCATCATCATTATCTATTAACATCTATGACATGCTCGGATATAGCACAAAAGGTATCATCTGTTTTTCACAAATAATGCGTTTTTTTTTTTTTTTTTTCAAGAGCTGAAGGTAAAGTTAGAAGTGATTGAGAATAATTAAATCAGCTCCCTTAAGTGTGCACAACTTTCCCATTGAGACGCATTGCTTAGAAATGACATGAGCAAAGCCATGACCTTATAGAGACGTGACTGAGAGTTTGAAGAGAGGGGGAGGGAGGGACACAACCTGACAGCCTGTTCTCATTCCGACATGATTTGCTTCAGGGAGCCGCTGCTGTCAAATTTGTGTTTTGGCCCATGTGAATGCCCCCGCGGGACAACAAATTGCTACAAGTTGCAAGGGGAATTTCAACCAACGCCCACGTCTGTCTCCAATCCGGTCCAATTGTGTCCCAGCCGAGGCGAGGAGCGTGAGAGCTGAGATGCCAGGTGACACTTGTGACTCGACAGTGGAGACCCCAAATAGAAATACAGATGCAAAAATAGGAACATGCTGTAGCCACTCATGCAACAAAGGAGTAATGACATAATGTGTGCTATTTATACTGGCTTTGCTCTGATGGCAGCTAGAGGCTCGGTTTTGTCCATGATTGAAATTGTGGTTTTTGTTTTTTTTTCATAACACTTTACAATAATTGCACTTTAATTTGCCTAAATAAAGCATGAAAAAATACTCAGTGACTTAATTAATACCCTAACTCCCAAATCTATAATCCCTTATGAAGTAATTACCAAGCCCGAATCATTCTTAATAAAATATCTGTTCATTATGAAATACGACTTGATCAATTTTTATTAAGGCCAATTAACTATGTAGTTATTGGTGGTAGCAGAAAGAAGATAGAAGAGGTACAATATTTGTACTAGACTTGTCAATCACAATAGCAGCACACAGAAAACAACAGAAGACATTAGTATAAATTTAAAGATGCATCATGTAACTTTTCTGATGGAGGGTCTGTCAAATTATTTTCTTCATGGACATTATTGTTAGCTAGGTTGGCGCCACCTAGTGCCTCCGCTCAATTTCATTTCTCTCCAACGACTGGGTCAGGAATTGGAATACACTAGATGGTTTGGAAGAACCCTGGAAGTTGTAGACCGCGCACTGGCCAATCAGAGAAGAGCTGTGAAGCCATGACGTCAAACTCAAGCGCCTGTCTGGGTCCCATTTGTGGTACAACACAACAGTAAACAAAGTGGTTGAGATGGATGTAGATGAGGACATACATTCTGTGTTGGCAACAATTCCTGAGATCGAGGATTTAAAGCCAGAACAAAGAGAATGTTTGGTGAATTTTATCAAGGGGAAAGACGTTATTGCCTGTCTTCCTACAGAATTTAGGAAAAGCTTAATATACCAGTTAGCTCCGTTAGTGGCGCATTACATACGTCACAACCAAACAGCAGCGACTGGTTAAATACTGTAGAGCAAACGAATCCTAATGCTGGGAGGTCAGACGGTTTCCACAAAGTGAAACCAGTTGATCAATCAGGCTAGATTATTACTTTGTCTGTTATGTTTCACAGTATCGCATTAAACCTTTCTATCTTTATGGAGAGCCCTAACCAGACCAAGTTAAAAAAACACATAACATACACACATATAATTGAATAAATGTAAGGCAGAGCTGTTTAATATCATATTGTGGAGCATTCAAGGCAGAGCAATGAAATATCCATAGAAACAAGCAGGTGCATGTTTAAAGAAAAGGAATGGAAAAGTATAAATAGAGCAAACTATCCAAAATAAACAAAATTTTGGTCATTAATAATCACAGCCAAATGCAGAATTCACTAAAAAGCATTATACACACAATACAGGCTACCCTCTGCGTCCCAGAATAGAACAGCTGGTGCATTCGTAGCATTTACACTACAAAGCTGCCATGATGAAATGCCTCGCAAACAACCTTGACGTTCAGTTAAGCGATCAGATGACAACATGAGGTTCTGCAGATTTGCATGGAACTACCTCATTTCTTACTCATGCACGCTTCTTCATTGACAAACCCCCACTTAAAGACTATACATAGTGTCCAGGATGATCTGTAATGACACCCATGGGAGACTTTTGGGAGACTAAAATGAATGCACAAACAGAGCCCACTCAATAGCAGCACCTCTCTTGTCAATTGCAGCTGAAGCGAAGGGTGCAGTGTGATCCATGCCTGTCAATATCTTGCTTTCAGAGGAGGCCTGGGACGCTCTTGGTCTAACCACTGAGAAAGCCATTATACAAGAGGCCTCAGAGTACAATAACTGCAATTGATAGGGCTTCCTGCTATTCTATCCTCATAAATCATTCACTGTTTACTGCTATTCAAAAAGACAGCCAGGGAACGCTTGGGATGATGGGGGAAAGAGTAAGCCAGAATGGTCCATCATGTTCTCAAGGAGGCA